TGCAGATGCAGTTGCAGGCACCCTGCAGTATCCATGCCACCTGGTGTCCAAAGAGAACAGGTGGTGTGCGCACGCCTCTGAGCCATGCTCTTCCCCCAGCCCCAGCAGACAGGCAATGCCTTCTTCCCAGGACAGCCCAGGCTGTTCTGCCACCTGACACAGGGACAGTGGGTTGTGGGGACCCAGGTGATGGAGAGGTCTTGTGCTCCCTTGCTGCAGCCCTTCCCCACAGGGAGGTCCTGTGGAAGGTGAGGCTTCTGGGCAGGGGTGCCCATAGGGGAGCTTTTCTCCCTCTACAGAAGATGGGTTCACAAGGAGCCTGCATGAAAAGCGGCTGCTGCCAGGGTCTCACGCACATCCACACCTGAGGGTCTGCTCTGAGAGACCCTAAGGATGCCTGTTGCTCTGCACTGAGGGGAGCATGGCAGGTGCTGGGCCATTTTCAGCTATAGCTCCTCTTGGGCCTTTTTTTTGTAGGACTGGGGATTGAACCCGAAGCCTCGCACTGGTTACAGCCCCTGCCTCCAACCCCATTTTGAGACAAGGTGTCACTAAGTCACTAGTTGTCCAGTCTGGGCTCAAACTTGCAATCTCCTGCCTCAGCCTCCCCAAGCACTACTGGAAAGATGGTCCCTAAGGACAATCACCCTCTGCTGACCCATCAGCCTGCTCAGAATAATGCAGTTCTGAGGGTCTAGCTCTATGGTGTGGCCAACAGCAGCTGCAGGAGGCCCTGGCACATGGGGCCAGGCCTGCTTGCCAGCACATCTGGCCAGAGCCCCCCCAGCAAGGGCCACCCACCTGGTTCCACCAGGCAGTCTCTGGTATCAGGTACCAGTATCAGGTACTGGGAGTATGGAGACTCTGCACATGGGACAGCCCTGTGCCAGCCCCCCCGCCCCCGAGTCCTGGCATCTGGGAGAAAGCTTGCTTCAAAGGGGCACAGGGCAGCTGCTTGTGTCCAGCCCTTCACTCTCATCCCACAGTGAGACTGCGTCACGCTCATGTAATTTTACATTACCCAAGAGCTCTGCGGTCTCCACAGCAGCCTCTGATGGGGCAAAACCCAGCTCTTCTGCATTCACCTGAGCAGGCAGCTAGAGCTGTGGTACCCTCCAGGAACCCTCCAGGAGGGATGCCTCAGAATCGCTGGTCATCTCTGCAGACAGGATCCCCAGCCTCTGGGATGCACAGTCACTGCCTCCCTCCTTCCGTGCACCGTGATGGACGCTCCAACGTGCATTCCCACCTTTGCACTGGGCGATGCCAGCCAGTGGCTGCCCTTTCTGCATCTACATCCTCCCAGTGGGATATCTGTCTTTCTCAGAAGAGATCTGTGTTCACCTGGGCATTGGCTGGTGCATACTGAGTTCTTGTCTTTTACCCCAACAGGAACAAACAAGTTTATTACTTTTGTCACTATATACAGCGTATATGCAAAACCCCAAGGCAACCAGTATAGACACAGGCAATCTCAAAATGTCAGGGTCTGGGGCGAGATTCACTATCCCTTCCGTATATTCAAAGGGCCAGAAGTGGGCACAGTAGCCATCATAATATCCAGAATTCAATGTCTCACAAGCAGTGCCTGAGTTTATACCCCCAGTGGCAGAGATGTGTGGAGCACTACCCGAAACTCACTGTCCTCAGGCCAGCACTGGGTTTCTGTTTTCCTGGACTTGGGCCTCATCTTTTGCAAGGTGTGGGCCATCCAATGATGTCAGAGACACTGCAAAGACCCTGCGGGAAGCTCCAAGAGGCCTGGAGCCCTAACCTGGCTTCGAGGTGGTTTCTTGGGAACCTCGGATATTGGGCAGGGCAGGGGCACCAAGGCGAGGGCCAAGCACCTGCACCTGCAGTCACCATCCAGAGTGACACTATATCTGGACCCTTGCTCTGGTGGTGTGGCCTGCAGGGAAGGGGCAAGAGGAAAATGGTACACCCAGGAGGAGTATAAGCAGCAGGGGAGGGGCTGTGGAGAGGGGCAGATCAACAGGGCCAATTCAGCGCCAAGTGGACAATGCACCTAGGTTTGGACATAAACATGACCCCACCTGGGCTCCAATCTAAGGGCGGGAAGGCTGCAGAATTCTGGGGTACAAGAACCACTGGCTGGAGGCTGTGTCCAGTGCTTCAGGAGGCAGCACTTCAGCCTGGCAGGCACGTGGATAGGGAGTGGCTGCCTGGGAAAGCGAGAGGCAAATGGGCAAGAGTAAAAGGACTAGGCTTTGGGGTGGGACAGGAAACATGCCAGGCTGCCCACATGAAAATGGTGCAAAACTCCAGAACCCCCTTCGGGTGCCGACTGCCAGGCTCAGCCTGGACCCAAGACCTGTGCTCAGAAAGGGCCTGGTCCTTGTCACCATCACACCGTGGGGTGACCAGAAGGTCCCCCTGGCTACAGTGTATTTGCTTGTGCCCTGTGTCCACCCCACGCTGGGAATGGCGCTGGGTCAGAGGCTCCGATGTGCACTGTGGGGTGAGTTCACCACCACAGGGGCACGACACAGGAGAAAGCCTTTCCACAGCGAGGAGTGCCTGGCACAGTTCAGCAAAAAATGTCCTCTGTGAAATGGTGCCTCCCACCACGCCACTGGCTCTACCTGAGAGCCTCGGGATTTTAATTTAAAAAGCATTCACTTGTGAAAAATTCATTCCTATTGCAATAAATCTTAAGTAAAAAATCCTAAACTATTAAGGGAGAAGAGCAAATCTACACATTTAAAGATAGTATCCTGTCAGAATCCCCAGCAGCCCCTTTCGGTGGGGACAGGCCCTGCCAGGGAAGGCCTCTCCCTGCTGCTCCTCTGTGGCAGGGAGTGCTCAGCCTCAACAGAAACACCAAACCCAGGGCTGGCCTTCTGCTGGGCCAGGCACTTCAAATCCTTTCAGAACAGTCTCCTTGGTAAAATCCCATCCAATAGGAAGTGATGTGGGGGTGGACGGTGGTTGGGACACCCCGCCCCCCCCCATCTGCGTTCCAGCTCATGATTTTCCCAGAGCAAAGTCTTCAGGCACCCAGCTTTACTCACATCCAAAGCTACCCAGGCGCACACTTCATCCAGTCTGAGCAGCCCACAGCTGCTGCCCATGTGCATCTGCTCTCCAGAGTGGCATGCGCTGAGAACCCCACGCGGCCAGCCCTGGCAAAACCAGGGACTATGCCTTCTTCCCAGAAAGCAGAGGCCATATGCACCTCGGCCTTGGGATGCTCTGCTCCAAGCAGCCAGTCTGGAAACCCCTTCCGGGGGGACAGAGGGCAATCCAACCTGCTTGCTGGCCACCACATTGTTGAAAAAAGGGACAAATAGCTTTCCTCAGTCCTGCTGCACTGCAACCCCAAACCCCAAGTTAATGCCTCAAGGGCAACCATGCTGCACAGGATCCAGCTCCGGCCTGGTGGCGGGGCCACAACTCCAGGGTACGGTGGGGCACCTGGGTGACCTCTGGGGGGCCTGCTCTGCTTGGGGGGACTAAGAGACTCAGTGTAACCCCTGAGCAGCTCAAAGTTCTTGGTTAAATTTTAGTTACTATCAAATGTGATAGGACAGAAAGATACTTCAGGAAAAAGCAAAGGACTTTAATAGTGTTCTCCTATTTACACTAAACAATCACCTGTAATAAAGCAGACACAAAACTACACTGCAGCAAGTGCACTGAGTCCCCAGCCGGCAGGGTGCTGGGAATTCCATATTCAGAGTGCATGGCTTTATTTCAACCCTGGTTATTATTATATTATTTTTTCCAAGGGCTCTAAGTGTTTTTGTGAAACCAAATCACATGCTGTGCTGAAACAGGAGATGAGGGGTTCTCAACTTGCTCTTCGGGGTTTGAAGCTGGAGACAAGACACAAGTGTCTTCCTTCCTTTGCCCAGTGTACACAACAAAAAGCAGAAAACATGTAGCATACTTCTGCACAAATGTCACACATGTGTCAAGAGAACCACTCAAGGCCAGGCACAAATGTGTGCGACCCTGCCTGGCCAGGGCCCATGGGACGGTCTGCTCATGTGCCGGGCTGGGCTGTCTCCACTGGTTACTGCCCATCCAGCCTGGGCCATGGTGAGCAGCCAGCTCCTCAGGGCCACAGTCTAAGCGTCACCATAATTAAAGCTGCTCTCTCCTCTCACAAGCACGTCCAGGAGGTGCCGCAGTGCTGAGCTGCAGTCCCATCTACTGTGAAAGCAGTGCCCACTTAGCTTTGCACACCGATGCAGAAATCGCAGGGCCACTGGTTTCCAACTTGTAAGGAATGAAGGGGTAGAAGGGAGGATGACAGGAGTGCGAATGGATGCAGCCTCCTTCAGCATGCTCACAGCAGGGAGGCCTGACAAGCCTACTGCGAGATGACACCATCACCTCTGCACCGCATGGTACTGACGCCACACGTCATGGAGCTGCTGGACACTAGGAATATGCCCAGTACAACTAAGAAGCTGAACTTTAAGCTGCACCACATTTTAACTAATTTAAACGTAAACCATCACAGGTAGACAATAATTGCTGCCCTGGATGGCAGAACCCTACAGCAGAAACCCGTTTCATAGGCTCCCTTATTTATGGTTGAGTTCCTGGACAGTAACGCTGAACTTCAACTATCCTGTAAAACAGCTACTTTTGTTTTCTAATTGTTGGAAAGAAATGTGGCTTTCTCTGACCACCATCTTTGCTCAGGGCGAGGAGGACAGTGTGGTGGGCTTCTCTCTGGCCCCTGAGCTTGAGTCTTCTGTGAAGGACTCGCAGCATGTGAACTGTGGCTGAAATTCCTTTTGAATCAAACACAGTGTTCTACAATCTATGGCCACTTTACTTTTTTTGCAAGTCTTCCCCACTTTTTTTCTTTGTTCTAAGAGATTGCTTCAACAGGAAAAAAACCTTGAGAAAATCTTTACTATGATATGCCTGCATTCTACTGAACCACATGAAGCTAGATAGCGTGGGGAATGTGGGCGGACACGTGTGTGCGTGTGTGTGGTGTGTGTGTAGAAATGGGGCAGAGGTCCATGGAAAATGCTTTATTCTGGGAGTACAAGAACAGTGTATGACCAGGGCTGAGAGGGCCAGCCTGCGCCCACTGCCGCATCTTCTCCATGACTCCAGATGACTCCAATAGACTCCAAACTTTTTAAATACCAACTGCTTCCCGCCATTTCACTTCCACAGGGGAGACTGCCTCTGCTGGCCGTTTCTCATGCTGTGTGACTTCCAGGTCATCTGCCCCAGAGCAGACACATGATGCAGCTCGCAGGAAGGGCACTGCTCACTTCAGCCAGATCCACTTGTCGCCCACTTCGGCGTTGTACCCAGGGGCATACCTGCGACCTGGCAGCTGCGGGGAAGGTGGCACACATTAGAGACAGCACACGTGCACGGTCAGCAGTGACATGTACATCCCCTTAGTCACTCTGCAGCTTAGGTGTATGCCCGCTGTCTGAGCAGGTCCTCTTCCTGGCCTCAGAGATGGCAAGGGACAATCACAGGGCAAGGCAGCTGCCTGGCTCTGAGGCAGGAGGGTGGCACTAGAGGAGGAAGAGGACACCTGCAGACACTCATAGGCCAGGCCCAGACGTGCTGTGCCCTCACACACTGACTATCACGACTGAAAAGTGGACTCAGGAACAGGGCAATGGCTGGAAACAGCAGCTGAACCAGTGCGGTTGTGAGGCTTGACTCCCTGCCCTTCTCCCCACACTGCTCTGGCCCCTGCCAGGGCCCCTACTCAGGGATCCAGACCCCTCGGGGTGGCTTCAGGCACAAAAACGGGGTGGAAGTCAGGCAGTGACAGTGGCTTTCTGCAGAGACAGCCCTGTCAGCAGTGCTTGATTCTGGTGCGGTGAGTTACCATGGCTGTAAACAAAGGTGGAGAGGGGTTGGGCCCAGGCCCTTTGCACTGACCTACAGACAGCCCAGCCTTTGTTTAGTTCAAGACAGGTTCACAATGCATCACTAAGTCACCCAGGCCGGGCTTGAACTCATGATCCTTCTACCTTTGCCTCCCACAGGGCTGGGTGACGGACTGGGCCTGCACTTGGGCTCAGCACCATGTCTCTCATCAAGGTGCAGTATGCATGGGAAGGGAACCTGAGCTCACTCACACTCACATCGATATGACAAATGGTGCACCTGTACCCAATACATGCACATGCATCCGTGCACACACACACACAGCTTCCCAATCCCGCTCTCTGGAAGAACAGGCACTAAAACCATCTCTCAAGGTCACAACCCCCTCCAAAGGCAGCAGGTGACAGTGGCTGGCATGCCAGCTGTAGGTGTCCTCTGCAAGACCACACAAGGCCAGTGGCACAGATGACACACACCCTACCCAATGCACACAAATGCTGGCAGTGCCCAGGCCATCCTAAGCCAAAGAGTTCAGAGACAACAGTGGCCAACGCTCTGGCACCTCAGAGGCCTGCATCCCCTTGCCGTTCCTGGAAGGCCATAGTTGAGGCTGGCTGCGGGGAACCCCTGCTGGACCGGGCTGGCTCTGGCCTCTGGTCTAGGGTGCAACATGAATGATTGTTTTACCTGAGTGCCACGCCTGCTCTGGGACATGAAAGGGAAATGCCCAGCTTCAGCTGAGACTATGAAGGGGCAGCATCCCAGCCAGGATGTAGCAGGGAAAGAGCATGTGCTTGGGTTGGAAAGGAGCCCCAGGGTCCCCACCTGCTGTTCTGAAGAAGGCGCTGGCAGAGGTTGTGCTGGGAGAGCAGTGTGCCCTGTGCCATGCGAGTGGCAATGGACACCCGCCACGAGCCCTTGGGAACAGGAAGGCATGGTCTGCCCAGCAAGGTGGCCTGAGTCTGGCTGCACAGAGAACCATGAGGCAATAGGAAAACCTTGTCTGCAGCTGAGATGGAGGAAGGCGGCAGTTAGAACCAAGAGGCGCACATAGCAGCTGGCAGGATCGATGCCGTGGATGTGCCTCCAGGTCTGAGATAAATAGAGCAGGGCAGAGGGCTAAGAGGGAGATGGGCAGGCCCAGGAGGGGACAGGGAAGGTCTGGTGATGGCATGAGACACATGGGGCCTCAGGTCAGATGGTAGCCAAGAACTCGCCAGAGGAGGACAGGAGAGATGGTGGCAGGAGAGATCATGCCGGCAGGAGAGGCGGCCATTAATTAAAGGGGGACAGGTGGCACACAGTGCTTGAGCCAGGCAAAGGTACACAGATGTGACAGCCTCGCAAATAGGTTAAGGACCTTGCGATAAGAGGTTGGGCCCAAAGTCAATTGTAGGGTTCTACAAGAGTCAGGAAATGGACATGGTCATAGGTACAACGGCCAGACTGACCTGGAGCTGGGCTGGGGGTGCAGTGCCTCTTGAAGTTAGAAAGAAAGGAATCAGGCTCCCCAGGCTCAGAGGCAGCCAAGACCCACCGGAGGGTATGGGCTGTTTGAGCTCACTTGGTGTTGGCAGTAACATCCATGAAAGGACACTAACCCAGAGAGGGTCTGCTTTCTGTGAGGAGACAGGTGGGCACATTGGCCCACAGACCCAGGACAGAGGCACATCAAAGAGCAGGAGGCACACAGGACAGAGCAGGCCCTGGCCCTGGCCCCAGACTGCCAGAAAGGCAGGGCTGCTTGAGCGTCCAGCATCCAAGGGGCCCTCACAGTAGTCGGCCTCCTTTCACTAGGTGGACTGATCTGCACAACACTGCCATCCAAAGAACACAGCACTCGCAGCTCGAAGATCACTGGAAAGGTTTTGCATTTACCTACAACAGCCAGTGGGCAGCTGCCTGGAAATGCAAGAGGTCAGCATGCCCAGCGTTTTCAATTAAAGCTCTTGTTAAATGACAAACCCAGCCCAGGAGTGGCCACACAGCTGACACAGCAGGCCCTTCAGAGGACAGGCTGGACATGGCAGTGTGGCTGCTTTCACCTCTGCAAATGGAATTTTAAAGTAGGGCAAATAAAAACTAACAATATCAAACCTGCCGAGCCCAGCTAGTATTTACTAATTGCCTTGCCCACCCACGCTTTGGGCTGCACAAGTGGTGTTTAACTGGACTCCAAAATCCAGAGGCACTCAGGTCTTGGGGTCTCTTTTCAGTGCATGTGGGCCAACAGAGACCCATAAGAGGGTTTCCATTTGGACGATCTCACACTGAAAGAGTGAAAATCAGCTTATTCTGCATTATCGCTTCACACCAGCATCTGCTAATTTAAAATAATCTTCAACCTCCAAAACACAGCCCACTCTCACCACACAGAAAAGTGGGTAGGAGACGGCACGTTCAGTAAGTGCCTTTCTTGTAAGTGCATGCTGCCTACACCCCATGTGGCCCCGACATGCATCCTGACAAAGATGGGCACCTGACCCTGCGAGGGTAGGGATCTGCTGCAGGGGACATGATGGGAGCCTTCAAGAAGCACTGGGATCCCAGTTCTCCCGGCCTCTCCACTGCAGGCCTGGGATGTGTGGTGGAGGTGAGTACTTTCGGGAGGCTGTTTCCCCATATTTCCCATGAAAGATCAAACAGCCATTTGCTTATTAAATCGAGGGGTGGGGATAACAGATTACAAACCAAGCACAGATCACCAAGTGAGCTCGCCCTCCCTGGCCAGTGGAAGGCACAAGGCTCAGGCCAGGGAGGGACTGAGCCATGCAGTGAGGAGCCCACTGGCCAGTCAGGCCACAACCTGGGCTGGCCCAGCATCCTGTTCCCAGGAGCCCGGCCACGGGGTGGAGTTGTACCATAAGGGCGGCTCCATCATGGCTGGGGCTCACACCACTGTCAGGCCTGCTCTGGATCTGGATCTGCATCTTCCACTCCAGGCAGAGCAGACTGAGCTGCACTGTGTTCCCAGCATACACATTCGTGCACTGGAGGCTGCAAGAGCATCTCTGCTGCCCGTCTCTCCAACTGTGTGCAAAGCTGCACATCAGAGGCCACGTCTGATTTAAGCTAACATGGACAACAGCAAAGCAGTGGCATCCCCATCTGGCCTGCAATTTAGGGGATTCAAGGCGCCTAGTGTGGAGCTCCCCATTTCCTTCCCTCTACCCAATCCTTCCATGCACAATGCCTACAGGGAAGGAGGAGGGCAGAGGAGATGAGAGCCAGGCTGTCTTGGTAGGGACAAGGAAGGAGTGCATTCTGGATCCTTACCCTTTTGTGCATCCTGTGAACTTACAGCATGTTCTTTCTCATGACAAAGACCAAGTTGTTTGCTGAGGTCAAACAGCTCTAGTCTGTTCATGGGGCCAGAATCTGAGCATCATCCTCTGGTGGTCCTGCTTCCTCGACCCAACCATCTTGTCCCACCCCTCCCAGCCTGCAAGGGGCCTGTGCTATCAAGCCACACAGTTACTGGTGTCCCTGATATAGCACTTTGACGCCCTGCAGATTTATCTGCACAGGATAAACCTCCAGCAAAGGAACTGCTTGCTTAAGAAAAAACGATCAGCAAATGGAGCAGCAGGTGCTGACACAGCCACCAGAATGGGCTTAACTTAATCATGTGCAAGCTCTGGTTCAAATCACCACGCTGTGCTCAGCGCGTGGGCTGACTCAGGCCTTCGGCACCCCCTCAGGGTCTAACCCAGCTCTCTGCCCTTCCTGCCCCTGCAGGGGAAAGGGCGAGCTGGCTGCAGCACAAACCTCAATGCTATGCTGCCTGTGAATAAGGTGTGGCTGGCAGCATCCTGGTCCACATAACAGCAGAGTCCAACCCCAATGCAAAGGCATTCCTGGAAAGACATCACTGACCAGCAGCCGCAGGAAACACAGGATAGGAATGTGGCATGGATCTGCTCACCTGGGGATTATTGAGTGCCCATGGTGCCGGGTCCTGTGCTGGGCAACAGGGAGACTTGGGGATAGGACGGCTCACACAGCACCAGCCAGGAACTTCTGAGGGCGGACGAGGTGATGCCACTGAGCTGGTAACTCAATTTACAGGCAGGAGCTGACATCTCCACACCACAGGTCAGGCTGTATCTGGGCCACGAGGGCCAAGGCAGCATACTGAGTTTATACCACACAACTCAGACCCAGGAACCAATCGGGTAAGGGAAAAACATCCGTGTACCTTCTCCTGGAGGAGACTGAATGCCTCCTACACCAGGAGCACAGAGCTTTCAGCGCTCTGAGACATGAATGAAAGTCAGCCCCACCTTCCCTAGTTCTAGGATACACATGGAAAACACACAGGTTGGAATGTGGGCAGAGCCCAGAGCAGCAAGGAGTGGGGGCGGGGGGATATATTATACCTCACCAGCATGGAGGGATGCAGCCTACAAGGACAGACAGACTTTGTGGGGGAAGGACAACAGAGGACAGTGAAGAGAGAGGAGGAGGGGAGCAGCACAGCAGACA